CCCCCCCCCCCCCCCCCCCGAGCACAGGAGCTTGTCACCTGCTGACAGCAGGCTGCTGTCTTTTCCGAGGGCTGCATCTTGCCGGTCATTATCACGTGACAGCGACTAGTCGATGACAGGCATAAAAAGTCACTATAGTGAAGTCGACTAGTTCATACAACCCCTACTGCTCCCCAGAGTTCTGCAGCGCACGTTCTCTTTGAACTTGATATCAAATTTTCGCCTCCTCTTCGTCTCCGCACGGTTAAAGTTACCCTCGCGGTCTATCACTCGCTAATCAAAAGTGAGACGATGACACAACCGCCCCCGTACTTGCTTGTTACCACATTCCACCCGGCCACAATAAGAGACCGGCCTTTATTCACCTCCGCCGGCACCGGCCAAAATTGGAGACCGGGACTTTAATTGAATACCGGCCTGTATTAGAGGATTTACGGTATACGCCTACATCGGGGACACCATGGACACAATAAATGATCTCCTTTGTGTCTCTCTCCTGCCCTGATTAGTCCTTATTGTTCTCACCTGCCCCTCGTTAACCTGCCCATGTGTTCCTAGTTTCCCCTTATACCTCCCTCCTTGTACCAGTCTTCGTCAGATCATTGTACGTTGTCTTCGTCGTGTTCGTGCTTGTGCTGCTACCATTAAATCATTTTTATTTCTTCATCCGTGCCTGCTCTTCTGCCTCCTGAACCCTCCACCACACATGGTCTGCCATCTCCACCCTCACCTCATGACACTCTGACTGCGTAACTCAATGTGAGCATGATGGTAATCCTTTTCCTCTCATGTGATTCACTGTTATAATAGACCCAAGCGAGGGGTTTTATTTTATTTTGGTGTTTAAATTTAATTAACTCATTTCAAGTTTGTTCTAACCCTGAAACTGACGCTGTGTGCTTCGCTGCATTTGATTCGCTTAGAATTGAGAAAATAAATGTGCTCATGTGATTTTTAAATGTTTTGTTCTGACACTCCAAATGCTCCAAATGCTCAATACATCTCCTGACAGCTTATAGTCAGGGTATCCGCGGGTCCTTAAAAAGTCTTTAAAAAGTCTTAAATTTGCTTTTCCAAATTTAAGGCCTTAAAAATCCTTTAAAATGACAAATAATCCTTAAATAGTTTCCAAAGGTCTTAAATTACCAAAGACCCAATAAACAAGATTCTTTTATTTCTATAAAATTGTCATGAATTTCTAGTGTTCAGCATTTTTTGTGTATGATATTTGCATAAGTGGAACCATACACATTCAGTTGGTTGTGAAAGGGGTTATTTTTAGATGAGCACATTAGCTGGTTAAGCTAGTGGGAGCTTGTGTCACGGGGAGGTGCAAGTTTAATGGTAACTGGATGGCTAATCCCACGTTTGCGACGTGGTTAGCACTGGTTCTAGGCTGGAAATTATAGCTTAAATTTAATTTTAAAAAATAGCTTAAATTTGGTCAAAGTGGCCTTAAAAAAGGTCTTAAAAAGTCTTAAATTTGGCTCCCTTAAACCTGCAGATACCCTGTATAGTGTAATTCTGCTAAATCCAGATTTCACCACTAAACAGAAACCAGATCTCTTTAACGAGCTCCTAGGAAGGATCTGGACGACATTTACGGAGGATGGATGGAGCTTGGGCTCCGTTTGTATGTGTTGGATGTTTGAACCGCCCAGAAATAGACTGAAGCTTTGACTGTAAACGGTGTGGCGGCGAACAGCTTAGCCCAGCGTGAACACTGAAACGCAGAGGGGCATCCAAAGCCTTGTGTCTGGTGTGCTTCTCTGTGGGAGAGAGGCATAATGCCTGGTTTCTCCTGCTGCTGTTGCTGAGGTTTTTAGAAGTTCATCCATCCATCATCAAAGCACTGACTAGCTGAAACAATTGCTGCCTTAAAGGAGCAACATTCTCCTTCATTGTAGAGTTTAAAACCGTAGCATTAAGGATTGACTACATATATATTAAATGATCAATAAGATGTGATATTCCATATAAATATGAAGTATCAGTCTGATTGGTCTTTGAATGTTTAATCAGAAGACTTTAGTTTCTTTGACTTAATCAGGGAACACACACTTCACATGAATTCAGACAGAGTCAAGAATATAGTTGGGAAAATAGAATTAAAAATAATTTTTATAAGTAAATGATTGTACATGACAAAGTATGAATGAAATGATGGTTATACAGATAATAGATGATGAATGGAATGGAAGCTAGATGTTTTATCTGAGATTGAGCTTGTGAAGTCTGTTTGGCTGTACGGTTTGATGAGCTAAACTTTGTTTGTAAAACCATCCGACGCAATTTGTGCCGACTCTACATCCCCTTGTGTGAAGATCCCCAAGCAATCCAGGGGGTCAGGAGGTTGAGAAGGACAGTGCCGATGGTATGGACCTCTGGTACCGGAGCTCGTAGGCAGTTCAGAATATGACCCTTCCGGTCTGGGGTATCTCCAGGTGACGGCAGGAAGCTGGAGTGTCTATTTTCCATCTAAGGTTTTTTGGTGGCTCTTAAAAGAGCTGCTGTGTCTGAAGTCACTCGCAAGTATTGCAGAGAGGCTTTGACCTTGAGGTCAAAAGATGGGATGGTCTCAAAATGCTTGTTTACCCGATTGGCCTTACGAGGTGAACGGCGAAGACTAACTAGATCAGCAAGTGTTCTCGCTTTTATTAACTTTTGTTTATAAACTTAGACAAATCAGAATTTGACACGTTTAAGAGGCATTAACAAAGACCTCAGAAAGTCACTCCTTCACTCAGACACTCAGAGTTTACCTCTTACCCCGGCTTTCCACGGGAGCCGTCAGCAGAACGTAACTGCAGCAGCACGTCATAGCTGCTGATAGGAACCGCTGTGGTCAACAGAACCTTTTCCACGGGAGCCGTCAGCAGCGCGAGTCGGCCGCGTCTCAGGAGCAGCATGTCGCGGCCTTTACGCGCCGGTTCTGTTTTCTACGCGCAACGCCTCTGAAACGGGTCAAGTTCGACAGTTTTGGGGAAGGAAAGACAGGAAATCGGACGCGGAAATGGAGAGAAGCTCTCGAGATTTTCAGAATAAAGAACGTACTGCCTTCCGGTTGCTTTACTTTTAAAAACGTTACTAACTGTGCGGCCCCGTGAGAAGTTATCACCTAGCTAGCGGTCTCCTTTGTTTTTCAGGTCCGTATTGGCGATTATAAAACGGACAGAACATAAAACACAAACCATGTTGTAGTTTTCTCCTGCTTGTTGTTGTGTTTACTGACGAAGTCACTCGTGTGACTTCGTGCTCGGTCGGTGACAGCTGCTCCCCTGCTGCTTGGCGTCTCGTGGGAAGGGCCAAGCAGCAGCTTACGCGAGCAAGACGTGCTGCTGCAGGAACGTGCTGCTGACGGCTCCCGTGGAAACCCGGGGCTAGTGTGAAGTTCAAATGTCATAACAGTTATATGAAGTTAATATTAAAACCTTTATATTAATCTTATGATGAATGAGTATAGTGATGGATTAACTTGTTAAATCAACAAATACTGCTCTGGTGTAGTTCAAGATCTGAAATGAATCATTGGAGGAAAAATATAAATTTCAACACATCATTGATTAATGCACAGATTATTCAAACACTTTGGGATTTAACAAGAGATGATTAAATGACACTTATGCAATTATAAAGTTTTAAAAAGCCATTTATGATTTAAGGAAGATAAACTTCATTCAGAGTGAGAGTGCAGACAGTCTCGTCTTCTGCATGACTTTTGTTCCAGCCAAGAGGAGGAAAGCACTTGTTTGGTTGCACGGTCGTAGATCCTTGCTTTTCTCGTTTGGAGGCCAGACAGATGTAACGTGTCCCTGGATGTGTGACGCCGTTTGTGTCTGCAAATGAAAAGTTAATTTCTGGTCATTTTTGATGTGAATACTTGACCTTTGGGTACGCTACAAAACAAACATGTTATTTTGGGAAATGATCTGATATGATGCCAAATGTAACCTGATTTGTTAAGACTTGGAGTTTGTGTTGGGGATGAGTCTCAACTTCTACCACAGCTAGTCTAGTGAGTCTACCTTTTTCTGCTAATGTTGAATGGTTGTGACGGACATCTAGAATTGGGCTAGGTCCAAAACGTAAACCACTCTGGACAGAGGTTTTTCTGATGAGCTGACTGGATGTTTTCCTGCACCACCAGTGTACTGGTTCATATGGCGATTAGTCAACTCGAACATTACTGCCAACGTTTCTGGTCAAATGTGTAGCACTCCGAGCCTGGGATGGGTTAGGTTTTAGCTACTAACATGAAATTTCAGCTCAGCATCTGTAAAGTTAACTGAGTTACTGAGACTTGTCTTTGCAGACGCAGATAAGTTGTGACAATCTTGAATAGTCAGTTGCTGCTGAAGATCTCTCTCTCTCTCTCACTCTCTCACTCACTCACACTCTCACTCACACTCTCTCACTCTCTCACACTCTCTCTCTCACTCTCTCTCACTCTCTCTCTCTCACTCACTCACTCACTCACTCTCTCACACTCACTCACACTCTCTCACTCTCTCACACTCTCTCTCACTCTCTCTCACTCTCTCTCTCTCTCACTCACTCACTCACTCACTCACTCACTCACTCACTCACTCACTCTCTCTCACACTCACTCACACTCTCTCACTCTCTCACTCTCTCTCACACTCTCTCTCACACTCTCTCACACTCTCACTCACACACTCTCTCACACTCTCTCACACTCTCTCTCACACTCTCTCACACTCTCTCTCACACTCTCACTCTCACTCTCTCACACTCTCACTCTCACTCTCTCTCACACTCTCTCTCACACTCTCACTCTCACTCTCTCACACTCTCACTCTCTCACACTCACTCACTCACTCACTCATTCACTCACTCAAAAGCCTCCATGCTTTCCTTTGCACAGAGCTCTCCAACTTTCTAACCAAACAAAATTGACTGTCTCAACAGCACTGAACTAAAGGACATAAATCTATAAATGACTTTCTTTTAAGTTTACTAACGTGTTTGTTTCTTCCCAGGTGTGACGTGGGGAAAGGTGGTTTCCTTATATGCCGTGGCAGGGAACATGGCCCTGGAATATGTACGGCTCGGTAATCCGAGTTTGATCCGTGTCATCGTTGACTGCATGGGTGATTTTGTCTACAAAAATCTAACCGGCTGGTTAAAAAAGAGAGGGGGCTGGGTAAGATGATCCTATTCCTAATTTTGGGTGTGCTGTGGTGAAAGTGTGTGTTGCATCAGTCTGGTGTGTGTGACCGAAACCTGATGGAAATTAAATTACAGCTCATCATCCACACCATACCATGCCTACAGCAAGGCATGGAGGTGGCAGCATCCTGTTGTGGGGGTGTCTCTCTGCATCAGGAACTAGGGCTCTTATTAGGGTAGAGGGGAAAATTGATGGGGCCGAATACCATCAAATTATTCAGTCATCTGTAAAGCGGAGTGGGCAAACGTTGCTCAATCTAGTTGTGCAAAGTTGATGCAGCATTAGCTCAACAAACTCAAGATTTTTATTAAAACAAAAGGTGGTTAAACCAGTGATTGACATTGGGGGGGATCCTTGATTACTCTCACTATATCTTGTTTTTTTATTCTTGTAAACCTTCTGAACTGTAATTGTGATATTTTTCAGTTGGATGTTGTAGATTGTAATGGATAAGTAGAGCTGGCAAAAGATATTTGTGTTGTAAGTGTTACACCCCTGAAAACAGGGGGAAAAGAATCACAAGAGTGATTATGACTTGCGTCTCTCATACAGGCGTTTATTGCAGTCAAAATGAACAGAAACGTCTCACATTCTGTACTGCTAGATGTCACATGGTGGAAGAAAACACTGACTAATAAAACGAAATACTAAAGTGCTTACTATACATATACTGGAGCAGGTTTCCTGACAAAATGGCTGACAACAGCGGCGTTTTTAGCTCCTGCCATTATCCTACCGGCCATTACGCAGTACAAAATCGAGGCCCAAAACCGCCACGTATATGTGCACAAAACTGTAATATAATACTTCTAACGCTTACAAACAATGGAGAATTACCTCGTAAATATCTTAACAGTATACACGTTGGGAATATATCAACCTTTAACCACTTTTACCTGAAAACAGGGGGAAAAGAATCACGAGAGTGATTATGACTTGCGTCTCTCATACAGTCGTTTATTGCAGTGAGGAGAACGCGCGAAAACCCCCTAGTGGAGAATAGACACTACTAATCGATTCCAGAAAAGGCTTATTAGCCGATCGCTGATGTATAGATTGCAGTTCTCTTAAATAACATGAAAGTCATCAATATAACATGACAAATAATAACCTCTTAACCATTTTCTTGCCATATTTACATTACTTCTGTTCTTATATCAACTGATATGAATTAGTATCAAGTGAACAGTTTTATATGCAGTAGTCCTTCAACCTGTCACATAAGGATATAAAGGACACAAATGTCAGAGGTGGAGATTATTTTCTACACCCACTGTAAGCTGACGTTGCTGCTTCATCAGTCAAGTGATGGTCTGGTATGCATGTCGATGGACGGTCTACAGTAAAACTGATGAAGAAGTCTGATGAAGAAGAGCTAAAGCCAAAGTTGGAGGCAAAGTTAAACGTCTTACAGAGATCTTCTGTCTGCTGTTGTGAAAAGGAACAAACGGGAACCCGTCTGCTCCCCTCCCGTCCCTGCAGTGTTTTCAGGAGAAGTAGAGTGTGACAAATGAAGAGCACTGCTTTGTATAACCGGCCTCCCAAATAAGGGAACGACTTGTTTTCCACCCAGACAATTCCACATGGAGACAGAACTACAGTGTGCTGGAAACTAGAGAACACTTGTGTTGAAAAGATGGTGAATGTTTAATGTCTAAACCCGTCTGTCTGTCTGGGGTCGTTCACTATCAGTTTAGTTAGAGCAGTTTAAGATAATAGATCATTTATTAGGGTTGAAATAAGCTAGTTACAGAAACAGTTAAACCCGTGGAAAAGTGCTGAGTCAGATATTGGTGAAAGTCAAGTTCCAGGAAGGTAAATTTAAGACTTTAACCAGTCGCATGATGCACATATGAGACCTGCATAAAATATGAAGCATACCTTTTCCATAAAATTAGCAAACTGAGTTCCTAGATTTAGTATCTTTAGTATGTATAACAAGTCTGGTAACTCCTAAAATACTTTGCTTAAATTCTCCATATTTAACACCAGGGAGGCTGTGCGTGTTCGCCCTGTCCACCTGGTTTCCTCCCACAGGCCAAAAACCTGCATGTCAGGATAATTGGTGACTTCACTGTGACTAGATGTGAGTGAATGCAGGACTGGTTGTTTGTCTCTATACATGTCCCTGTGGTGGACTTGCATAGGCACTTGTTTGTCTCTATACATGTCCCTGTGGTGGACCTGCATAGGCACTTGTTTGTCTCTATACGTGTCCCTGTGGTGGACTTGCATAGGCACTTGTTAGTCTCTATACGTGTCCCTGTGGTGGACTTGCATAGGCACTTGTTAGTCTCTATACGTGTCCCTGTGGTGGACTTGCATAGGCACTTGTTAGTCTCTATACGTGTCCCTGTGGTGGACTTGCATAGGCACTTGTTTGTCTCTATACGTGTCCCTGTGGTGGACTTGCATAGGCACTTGTTTGTCTCTATACGTGTCCCTGTGGTGGACCTGCATAGGCACTTGTTTGTCTCTATACGTGTCACTGTGGTGGACCTGCATAGGTACTTGTTTGTCTCTATACGTGTCCCTGTGGTGGACTTGCATAGGTACTTGTTTGTCTCTATACGTGTCCCTGTGGTGGACCTGCATAGGCACTTGTTTGTCTCTATACGTGTCCCTGTGGTGGACCTGCATAGGCACTTGTTAGTCTCTATACGTGTCCCTGTGGTGGACTTGCATAGGCACTTGTTTGTCTCTATACGTGTCACTGTGGTGGACCTGCATAGGCACTTGTTAGTCTCTATATGTGTCCCTGTGGTGGACCTGCATAGGCACTTGTTAGTCTCTATACGTGTCACTGTGGTGGACCTGCATAGGTACTTGTTTGTCTCTATACGTGTCACTGTGGTGGACCTGCATAGGTACTTGTTTGTCTCTATACGTGTCCCTGTGGTGGACTTGCATAGGCACTTGTTTGTCTCTATACGTGTCCCTGTGGTGGACCTGCATAGGCACTTGTTTGTCTCTATACGTGTCCCTGTGGTGGACTTGCATAGGCACTTGTTAGTCTCTATACGTGTCCCTGTGGTGGACTTGCATAGGCACTTGTTTGTCTCTATACGTGTCCCTGTGGTGGACCTGCATAGGCACTTGTTAGTCTCTATACGTGTCCCTGTGGTGGACTTGCATAGGCACTTGTTAGTCTCTATACGTGTCCCTGTGGTGGACTTGCATAGGCACTTGTTAGTCTCTATACGTGTCCCTGTGGTGGACTTGCATAGGCACTTGTTTGTCTCTATACGTGTCCCTGTGGTGGACTTGCATAGGCACTTGTTTGTCTCTATACGTGTCCCTGTGGTGGACCTGCATAGGCACTTGTTTGTCTCTATACGTGTCACTGTGGTGGACCTGCATAGGTACTTGTTTGTCTCTATACGTGTCCCTGTGGTGGACTTGCATAGGTACTTGTTTGTCTCTATACGTGTCCCTGTGGTGGACCTGCATAGGCACTTGTTTGTCTCTATACGTGTCCCTGTGGTGGACCTGCATAGGCACTTGTTAGTCTCTATACGTGTCCCTGTGGTGGACCTGCATAGGTACTTGTTTGTCTCTATATGTGTCCCTGTGGTGGACCTGCATAGGTACTTGTTTGTCTCTATACATGTCCCTGTGGTGGACCTGCATAGGTACTTGTTTGTCTCTATATGTGTCCCTGTGGTGGACCTGCATAGGTACTTGTTTGTCTCTATATGTGTCCCTGTGGTGGACTTGCATAGGCACTTGTTTGTCTCTATACGTGTCACTGTGGTGGACCTGCATAGGTACTTGTTAGTCTCTATACGTGTCCCTGTGGTGGACCTGCATAGGCACTTGTTTGTCTCTATACGTGTCACTGTGGTGGACCTGCATAGGTACTTGTTAGTCTCTATACGTGTCCCTGTGGTGGACTTGCATAGGCACCAGCTTCCTGAGACCCCATGAGAGAAGCAGATACAAAAGATGAATTAATATGATAACTTTACATTTTTATTCTCATTCCCAAATCTCTACTGGACAAAGTTCATGTTTATTTGTTGAAGTCATTTTACATGAGTACACGACTCACGACTCATGAAAAGTATTGTCTAGATAGAAAATAAAGAAGCCCCGTAGACCATCATGAAAACTATTTTAAAGGGGTACTTTCCTAAAAGTGTTCCACTTTTGTTCTCACAACAGTGAATTAAAATGGACTCTAGGGGGTGCTAAAAGCCTGCTAAAACAGCAAAGTTTCCTTTGTAGCGTTGATGTTAAAGCCAGTGTGTGTGATATTTTTACCTGTTTACTATCATATTCTGTGTATCCAGTTCAAACACTTGTCCTTTTTCATTAATATTTTTCACCAACATCAATTCTTAATATTTCTCTAAGTTTACATTTTCTACATTTTTAAAAACTGTGGTCTACATTTTATGGCCATGCACCATCTGGAAATACAGTAGCCGTTTAGGGACATGCAAGCTCTGTGTTTCATGTTTGCGCTTTGGCTATAACCTGAAAGAAACAGCAGAGGGCAGCAGTGCACCCTGGAAAAACATAAAGAGAGCTGGGGATATCTAACGGCAGGCATGGAGCAGCTTGAAGAATACCTCGTGGAAAAGCTCTAAAAAATATGAACGATTTGTTCCCCCATGACTGGAGGAATGAAAAGATACGTAACAAGCATTTTATCCACACACGGAAATGACAGGAAACGTGGGTTTATAGGTGGCGAGCACATAAAGAGGTGGAGGAGGACAAATTTGTTTGTTTTAAAGTCTCTAAAATATAAAAAAACGCTATATAAACACAACAGTAAATGCACTATCTTGGGCCGGATCCATGACAGGATACCACAGAAAGGCGCTACGTCCTCTGTAATCCTGGTGGGGAATTGCTTTGCAACACTCCCCAGGAGACGGAGAAGTCTGAAGGCAAAACGTCTCTGTCTGTACGTTTGTGGATCTCCCTTGTGGAGCTGACAGGGAAGCGTGAATTGGGTTTACTCGGTTAGTTTCAATAACAAACAATTAAATGGAAAGATACGTCAAACGTGTCAGAAGATCATCTTGTCCAACTCTTGGCAGCCGCATATGATGACCTCCCTGTCCACTATTAGCTGGACACCAGCCTCCAAGTGGTGTCCTTAAATCCCTCACTCACCTCAAGTTAGAGCTCCCGACCCGGTCCCATCTAAGTGCTTCTTCAAGACGCCTCCTAAAGTTCCTCCTGTTTAAGTCTCTGCTCCATCATCTGGGGGGAGTTTGGAGGTGAGCCGCTGCTCCTCCGCACCAAAAGGAGTTGGCTGAGGTGGATTTGCCATCTGATTAGGATGACTTCTGGTTGACTCCCTCTGGAGGTTTTTCAGGCACGTTCAACTGGGAAGAGGCTCCCAGGAAGCTCCAGAACTCACTGGAGGGAGTTTGTATCCTCTCTGGCCTGGGAATGCCTGGGAATCCACCCAGGGGAGCTGGGGTGTGTTAGGGGAGAGGGACTCACGGGCTTCCACTCTGAAGCGGTTACCCATTTGAGTAAGAAGGGAAAAAAATGGCCGACTGGATGACCTTTTGACCCATTTTATACTCTGAGATGTGAGAGGACCTGAAGATGACATTCAAGTCTTTTTCATCCTCATTAATCTTTTCAGTGAATTTTATGCTTTTGTTTTATTCCAGGAAACACAAATCGAGGCACATTTTCTTTAAATAATTTAAATTTGCCTTGTGGGAATTGTCCTTAACAGCGTTATCTGACCTCCTCGCTCTTGGTACAAGGTTTCAGGTTTCTTCTGTCTTTGTCCTCTTTTGTACCAGCTCAGTGGCTTAGTGGTAGAGTGTCCACCCTGGTACTGGGAGATCGGGGTTCGATTCCCGGCTGGGTCATACCAAAGACTTAAGAAAGAGGACCCGATGCCTCCCTGCTTGACGCTCAGCTTTAAGGGGTTGGACTGGAGGATAAAACCACCGAATTGTTCCAGAGCGCAGCCACCGCTGCAGCTCACCGCTCCCCTCCACAGGGATGGGTCAAATGCGGAGCTCACCAGTGTGTGATTGGGACTTTACCTTTTTTCACCTTTATTGTGCTGATTTGTTGTGGTGTTTGAATTCATCTGACTGTGTTTCTTGCTCACAGGTCGATATAAAGAAGTGTGTGGTGAGCAGCGATCCCAGCTTCCACTCCCACTGGCTGCTGTCTGCTGTGTACACCTTAGGACTCTACCTGAAGACCGTGGTGCTGTACTTCCTCAGGGAGAAGTGAGACTGTGTGACCCACTGATATCTGAGCAGATGTGCTACCATTGTTAGGATTATGTTTACACTCATTTGCACTGAGCCTAGAATAAAGAACACTTCTTCATTTCACCGAACGCTCACTGCACGAGGTACTTATTTATTACTAATGCTTGCACCAGGACACCCTTTTCAGTCACCTCCTGAGCCCCGTTACCTTAGCTGTGAGCTCAGCTTCATGTTACTGTAATTCCGGCTCTTAATGAACACGTGACACTGTCGCAGGCGGTTTCGTCATGCCCGCCTCCAAAAGGTTTCTGAGCGCCATGCTAATGCAACCTGAAGATGTTCCTGTAACAGAATGAAATGACTGTTTTCCACCTAAAAGTCGTTTCCCCCGTCTCCTCAGCAGGAACTCATCTGCATGAGATATTGTTCAAGGTCTCATGCATTTGCTTCTACACTGTTTTCCTTTCCAGCACAAGAGAAGAATGAAGACAAAGGACTCTTTCTTTTAAATAAATCAAAGAACTCTGTTTTTAATAAAGCTAATCAAACAAAGTGTTAGTCCAGTAATAATGTGGACCAATCTGTGAAATGACAATGTCATGATTAGTAAGTTTTAATAAGTAATGACTTTAATCTAGCTGCACTAGACATCCTCATTCACGTAATGTAAACGCATGACACATTGCTTTTACTCATCCAGTCGGAACCTTCCTTTCTGAAGCGTGGCATAGTCTCTGTGGTATTTATAAATCTGTCCAACTTTGATTCGACCGTAAATCAAAACATCCAGATTAATAAAACCAGTCCCACGCCATCTCCTCGACTTGAGTTCAGCCTTCGATACCATCTCTCACACCATCCTCCTCCATAGATTGTCTTCCCTTGGCATTTCTCATACCCCGCTTGATTGGTTCCGTTCATATCTCTCTGGCCGTACTCAGTTTATTAAACTAAAATCCTTCACTTCCCGTCCCTTCCCTGTCACTACTGGCGTCCCCCAAGGCTCTGTTCTCGGTCCACTCCTTTTCATCACTTACCTTCTTCCCCTGGGAAATATTTTCCGTAAATTTGACATCCATTTTCATTGTTACGCGGATGACACCCAGCTCTATGTATCCTCCAAACCCTCCTCTTCACTTCCTCCTTCCTCCCTCACCAATTGTTTATCTGAAATCAAAGACTGGTTCACTTCAAACTTTCTCAAGCTCAACAGTGATAAAACAAAAATATTACTTGTCGGCACTAAATCTTTACTATCCAAAATCCACAGCTTTACACTTCCTGTCGACAACTCCTTAGTCCCCCCCCCCCCCCCCCCCCCGGTCTAGAGTGTGGGTGTCATCCTCGACTCCTCACTATCCTTCCAGTCCCACATAAACAATGTTACCCGGTCTGCATACTTCCATCTACGCAACATTAACCGCCTACGCCCCTCCCTCACTACTCACTCAGTCGCCATCCTTGTCCACAGCCTCATCACTTCCCGTATTGACTACTGCAACTCTCTTCTCTTCGGTCTTCCTCACAAATCCCTCCGTAAACTCCAACTTCTCCAGAACTCGGCAGCCCGCATCATTTCCAGAACTCCTTCCTTCCACCACATCACCCCTGTTCTTCAGCAGCTCCACTGGCTCCCAGTCACTTCCAGAATCCAATTCAAAATTCTGCTATATACATTCAAAGCCATCCATAACCTAGCTCCCCCGTACCTCTCAGACCTCCTTCATCCTTCAACCTCCACCCGTTCCCTCAGGTCCTCCTCCTCCATCCACCTCTCTGTCCCACCTGTCTGTCTGGTCACTATGGGGAGCAGGGCCTTCAGCCGCTCTGCTCCCCAGCTCTGGAACTCACTCCCTCCTGACCTCCGTAACATTGACTCCCGCACTCTCTTTAAAACCAGACTCAAAACCCACCTGTTCCGTCTAGCATTCCAATAGGTACTCTCTTTGCTCCAATCTGTCTGTTTGTTTTATGCTGTTTTATCTTTTATTGTTGTGTATTTTATCTCTGTAAAGTGTCCTTGAGTGTTCAGAAAGGCGCTGTTGAAATAAAATGTATTATTATTATTATCTTAAGTTCAGTTCACCGCATTCTAAGAGAAGTATCGGACTGGCAGAAGATCGCTGCTGTCCATGTGTGTGTTAAAATCTCCACGCACTATTACATTAGATGAGAGTGTAGATAAATGAGTGAGCAGTACTGAGACTTCTGACAGAAAGTCTTTGTGAGGTTTAGGGGGCGGTAGATAAATCCAATGATAGTGGGGGGTAGGTCCATTAAGTTTAAAAACCAAATACTCAAAGGAATTAAAATCATAGACAGGCACTGGCAAAACTTTCCAATTCTCGCGAGAACCGCGTGGTTTGGTGAGGTAAACAAACCCGGGAGGAGTAGCGTCGTTGAGCTGGGAGAAATCAGCTGGCTGCTGCCAAGTTTCGCAACGGCACATGAAGTCGATTCCACGGTCCTTGATGAGATTGTGAATGAGATTACCTTTCCCAGTGAGAGAGCGGATGTTGAGAAGGCCGAAGTTGACGGCGGTGCTGTCACATCCTTGAGCGTTAGCTGTCCTGGCGAGACTGGCTAACGAGGAGTGATCAGCTGTTCGGCGGTATGAGTTCCTGTGAGGACGACGGCGAGTGGTGGACCAGAAAGAATTGATTGAAGCAGAGTTGTGGTAGTGGAAATTCCTGCGTGAGCCGCGGTGGACATATCTCCGACGGAGAAGATGAGAGATGTCCGGGTCGAGGTGCAGTGAAGCCGGTGGAGATCCAGGGCGGTGGCGAATCCTGAGGAGCTCAGCGGCAGTGTACTGGAGGAAGCCAGCAGCAGGTCGGTGATAGAATCCAGATGAGTGCGGACCACACGTGAATAGCGTTGGTCCACATAATAGAGGTTAGGATTGATATAGATATCCACAGTCCAACATATAAAATCAAAGTTTACCGGTGAGCAGCGGCAGCCAAACGCGCCAGCGCTCACTCAATCCGGTGGGCGTGTCGATGAGATGGTTTATCCCTTGCTTCTCCGGATACGAGAGTTCTGATAACAACATCGCTCACACATACACCATTCATCTCACGTCTCATTCACACCAAGATCCATTCATCGCTTAGAGTTTAGAGTTGGTCTTGTTTAAAAAATTTTTAGAAATAAATCTTCTTAAACATTTTAAAGGTGACTCTCTCTTCTCTTGTCTAATACGAAGTGTTACATAATCCCTGCAATAAAAAGTTCAAATCTTCTGGTTAAAGGTACCCAAAGGTCCATAAGATTGATTTCATATTTACGATGTAATCTCATGTCTTATGGTTCATTAAATAGATGTAAATTAAATTCTTACATTCTTAAGGGAAGGATACTTCTAGGAACTAAAGTCTAGGAGGATGGTCCAAAGAACTTTGTTCCTAGAACTACGCAGTCCGAATGCAACTATAGTCATGAATATGTAGATGCCCCATTTGGCCGCTGGAAAACGTAAAAGCAACGCCGCCATATTGGATGGGTCTCCTCACTCTCTAAAGTCAAAGCACACTGAGCAACAATGCCCATTTCTGTGCAGCCCACATCTAAGCTTGCACACTTATACTGTACAGTCTTTGTTAGCTTGGCTTTTAGTGGCGCAGTCCACTGGCTCAGGACAGTGGCATCTTCCATAGATGGCAGGAAGTTCCCTCACAACTGGAAAACAGTCGTCCCTTTTGTAACTTCATTTAGTTTCTGCCACACTGAACTGCCAGAATTACCAGTTTTGGTAACTTGAGGGCCCTCTTGTGGTGACTAGTGCAAACTGCTTCTCACTGATGTAAAAATCCTTTTCAACAGTCATTGGTAAAAACCGAAGAATGTTCTTCTGGATCTGCTTTATTCTGTTTTAAAGGGCATAGACAGCTTATTTCCCTCTTCAAATCTGATTATTGCTTTTTTTTCTTTTTGTGTAAAATATGATTTGAGGGGTGCAGGTCTGGAGGATGATGTCTATTTATCCTTGCTAAAAGAAATTTTTGATGTGATCAGAAATGTTTACTTTATCATAAAGAACAAAAAAATTCTGTATTATATTTTGCTGCTTTATCATTTTCATCACAATTGCAGCTGTTATGTTCCGCCAAATAAATAAATATGGCGCCAAAGTGTCGGGCTGACGACTTCTGCAAATCTTTTTATTTATTAGTTTTTTTTGCATGTTGATATTTGGGCCATGGCCGTTTTAACTTACAACTGTTTAAAATGAGTGTTCGCATCATTAAAATGGAACTGTGTGGAGTCTGTTCAAATCCCACCTGATTTGGGTATCACGTTGAACAGAATCAGTTTAGAGAACCAGAGATTAGCTCTGTTTCACCAGCCAGTCGCAGTGGAACCAGACACAAAGTGCCTTAAACCAATTCCAGGCCAATCCAGTTCTGTTTTAATATGCTTTAACTGACATAAATTTCACCTTCCGTGGTTAATGTGGAATAACTATTATGAAATTCCATCCACAATAGCTGCATTAACTAGCTCCACAGCTAAATGGTTTTGAGTTGGTTTAAGACCTCAAACCCTTATTAACTAGCCCTCACTCAGACGAACCATCAGTACTAATCCCTGTTTTCTAAAAACCGATCCATGCAAACTGTTCCAAATCTTAAAACTGAGACCCGCTTCAAAAACCCTGAAATGGCTATTTTAAACTAGTTGTTCTTTTTGTTTTTTTACTCACTAAAAGTTGCAGAGGTCTTGTTTCTCTGCATCGTGTCACTGATTTGTTTTTCATCTGTGAGGAAGAGAATATTTAAAGCAAGTTAGAATATCTTCTTAAGGTTTTAGTTGAGTTACTATAATTTTAGATGGTCACTTGGATGCAGCACCAGACTTTATTTGCAGGATTTTGTGATTAATGAGCACTTTTGCAGCTTTTACAGAAGAATTCCCCTTCCAAACTGCATGGAGCACTCGGCAGCCTGCATAAGGAGTTGTGGTTTGTTAGATACATTATAATTTATAAATATTATTTCATATTGTCTGCTATTGTCTGGTTATATTAACACATATTTTCATGCATTTGTAATCAAATGTCTCTATATTTAAATTAAACCAGTAGGTTATATTTTCCAGTCGAGATAAAATGACTAAAATGTGTTTTTTCTAGAGTTTAAAAACGGCCTTTTGGAAATCTTGACCCGAAAGCCATGTACACAACAAAAGTGGCACTGCTTGTCCTGAAATGTTTAATTCACACCTATAAAAAATCACTTTTGTAAATCTGTCAGGATATACTCTCGTGTTTGTTTTGACTCAGGTGAAGATATGCAACATGCGTATTTTGTCTAAAACCTTTTTAAATATTTCAGAATGTTTGATACCTAACCTATCACTGATTGTTACAGACATGGAGTACTCCTCAAATAAATAAAAACTTAACTGCATTTGTATTGAAATAAAAGGTCTTGTAATGTTATATTTTTGCATGGGTGCTTTTCAAAGCACTCAATACACCTAAAGGACAAGTAATTAAGACAGACGAGGCACCAACAGATGAGACAAGTAAAAAATGTCCTCATAATCTCATGAATGAGTCTAAATAAGTAAGTTTTGAGTGTGTTTCCAATGTGAAAAAGCACGTTGGATGGATGGACGGTGTCAAAGAACCAGTGGCTCTTGGACCCATAAAAGACAAGCTGGCAGATGGAATTTTTGTGCTGAGCAGAAGCAGAAGGTCAGTGTTCAGGATGGAATAACATGTCATCATCCATGGGTCCAGGTTGTGAGGGACTGTCCTCTCCCCAGCCACCGTCACCTGTTCTTCCTTTAGGGGAACCCCAAGTTATT